CCCCCCCCCCCCCCCCCGAAAACCCCCTTCCCTACACACCTTGCTTGCGAGTAGTGCCGCCTTGGCCCCCCCCGCTCACAACGCTGCCCGCCGCGATGCTGCAGCGGCGGTCGGCTTCGCGCAGCTCGGCCCAGACGATGTTGTCGCACAGGACCAGGAACCTCTTGCCGCTGAGGACCCCCTTGCGGCCGCCCACGCACCAGTTACTCGCGATCCAGCAGACCCCCTCCATCTTGGCGCGGAGGCCGGCCTGGCTGCGGATGCGGGCCACGTCCTGGGCGTCTTCGAGCAGGCGCGCGGCGGAGAGGCCCTTGGGCGCGCGGCTGATGACGCTACCGTCGCGGCAGGACTCGCGCCTTCAGAACATTTTTTTGTTTGGGGGGNGGGGGGGGGGGGGGGTTGAGGGTGGCGGGTTAGTACGGAATGATAACAGGGAAATATAAACGACTACAGTAGCAGTAGTGATCTCACTCAATTGTCGGCAAATATCGAAACGGTTGTAGTAGCAGGGAATCAATCTCTCTTCACGACGACGGTCGTAGCGTAGCGGAAAGGTTTGGTTGTACTCTTCGAGGGAAGAATCATCCTCTATAGTAGCGTGGCCTTCTCAATCACACATGTTCTCATGGTTTCCTTCCAGCAACATCATGGAATTCATCTCGATCATCCGTGGACAGAGAGACAGCGTCCAGGCAAAGCTAGCTCCGCATGGGGTCAAAAACGCGTTGTGCTTCGCCCGTGTTTCTGCTGATCCTCGCGTATGAACAGCAGCATTCGCATTTTCTGCTGTTGGGTTGTTGTTGTGCAACCTTCGCGAGACGGTTTGGCGGCCTTGTTGTGTATCGGACTCTTGTGTATCGTGGGAGGAGTACATACAAGACAGAAGGCTGCGCTCCATGCTACTGGTACTGCCGTACCCTGCGGCGGCCTGGGTCGTTGATCTGGGATTTTCATTTTTGATCCACCGATTACGCGGTGCTTGTCTTGATGCTACTCCAGCTTCTCGTCAAGCTCCTTCCGGCTGTCTGCATGGCTTCAGCTGGACGAGCTATTTATCCGAGGAGCTGGAGCGACGTGAAGACTAGCACCGCGGGGTGGTGGATCAAAAATCCTATGCATACCCCAGGTCGAACATCGAAAGTGTCACCATCGCCTCTAATGTAACCCAAAATCTCCGATCCAGGAGGGTCACACGAAAAGAACTTTTGTCCGAGGCGCGAGCCTTACGCCAGAATGACTGGTTAGGGCTCAGCCGTCCTTCTCTTAAGCAAGAACCAACCGACACAAGAGCATGAACAAGTACATGAGTGCTCTCGATATTGTGCACATCAAGTGCATGGAACACATGAAAGCGCGATCTCGAATGTTGGGTAAGGCCGGTCCATCCATCCACCCGTCCATGACGCGGCAACAACGACCGTTGTATGCACACAGCATTTCTTGCCGACTGGATTTCACATGCAAAATTTTAGTCAAGAGGCTGGCGTGCAACGGACGACACTCACTCGCGGATGGTATGCACAGCTAATGAACTGCGCCTGCAGCAGCAACAGCCCTGAACTGAACCACAACACCAAAATCCAGTACACAGCAGCGGCAGCTCTGCACAGGTCCGCTCAAATTTGTTTTCTCGCAGGTACATTTCATGCATGCTACCATGCATGCGTGCATGCATGCGTGCATGCGCGCGAGCACAACAAAGTCGGTTAGTCACCCAGGCATCGGGGACCACGCAAGTTTGAAATTTGAAAAAGAAATACTTCCAAGTATTGTTCCGAAGGAATCGAACAATTATGGGGTGCGTATGTACAGGCACAGGCCAACGATCCAAAGCGTAAAGCTGCAAATGCAGTAGGTCAGCTCCGTTTCCAGGGAAAGGAACAACGGCCAATCGAAGCAGATAGTAAGCAAGCAAGTGGGGGTGCATGAATGCACGCATCAATCCATCGTACGCTTTCAAGATTCAAGATTCCGAGAGGTGACGTAACTGTTAAGCGCAACACATCATATGCTCGTAGAACCGAAAGATCCCGAACATCGGACAGGTGGACTACGCTAGACTATTTGCAAGTAGATGACGCATGTAACAGAGAGCCACATACTTTGGAATAGAATCCATGAAATCTAAAACGCATCGAAATACCTGTGGCCGGCGCTGAGAGCTCTCGGCGAAGATCTTGGGGACGGCCGCTTATGATCCCTCGAACGATCACCCTTTTGCTGCTGCTTCTGGTGCAAAGCATCACCTTCGGCTGCAGCAGCAGCAGCCGGCGCCAGCACCTCCTCCTCCTCCCCAACGGTCAGCAGCAAGCTGTCCCGTTTCGATTCGAAGAACCGTGGTCCTTCGTCTCCCCCCGCCGCAGCAGCGGCAGGCGCGGTACCAGCCGAACCTTCTTCATGGGACTCTTCATCATCCAACACGGACGTTGACCTCTCCGCCGCCGCCGCGGCCGCGTTCCTTGCTTCCTCTTCCGCTGCTGCTAAGCGATCCTCTCTCGTACGCCCGGGCGAGGAACCGCCGGGCGCAACGGAAGCCCGACGGCCGCGCCTGCGGCCCGAAACGGGCCGGCTGAGCTTGGCCGCGAGGCTTTGCCCGAAGTCCCCGTCGCCGCCGCCCATGCCTTGGTGGTGACCCTTGCTGCCGGTGACGCTTCTGCTGGCGCTGCGCACATCCTTCTTGCTGCCGCCGGCGACGGCCTCTGCTGAGCTGCTGCTGTTGGCGTTGTCGCCCTTGAGGATCTTGTCGAGGTCGGGGAGCCTGAAGAACACGGACGAGCGCCGTTGTTCATTGTTGTTGTTGCGCACCGCGCTCTGCTGCGACAAGGAGCGCCGCTTGGCCCTCTCCGTCTCCGGGCGAGCCGCGGGGCAATCCAACGGCGCCCTCTTCGGCGGCGGGGTGACGACGGGCTCGGTCCTCGGAGTCATGTTGGCAGTGCTGTTGGCCGTCGGCGAGGAGGAGGAGGAGCCGTGCGACTCCCAGAGCCAGAGCTGCTTGCCAGACTCTCTCTTGCCATTGCTGCTGCTGGTCTTCTTCTTGCCGGTGCGCCCGCTGTTGGAGATCGAGTCTCCGACGAAATCGAAGTTAAAATTCTGAAGGTTGAGGAAAGAGAACATATCTTCTCGATGTGCTGCCCCTCGCGACGGCGGCGTACTGGCTGTGCTGGCTGTGCTGGATCAGGGTGGGCACCTGTCTTGCCTGCCAGGAGGCAGAGTCACGCATGGAACGGAGCGAGAGAGAGAACGCGCGGCAAATGAGAGGCGAGCAATGTTTGCGAGTGGGGTCACGTAGTAAAAACGTACTCCAAGGATCTGTCCACAGCCGAACCTTTTTGCAGAGGCAGCTGCAGCAGTACTCAACAGTCTTCACCCCACCTCTGAGTACCTGGATGCGTTACCTTGGTCGTGGCTGGATGCCTCCCTCAGGACAAGGGCGTGGCAACTCCGTTGTGCCGTTACTCCCTTCCGTGTCTCACGCCACTCCTTGACGAAGCAGGCAGACCAGATATATATGTGCGTCCTTCCCACAACAAAATAGTCTGGAACAAAAATCAAGAACACAAGGAACAAATGGTAAACTGGGGTCCTCGGCGGGTCGTCCTCTCTCCTCGGTCTGGGGCTCCGTGTTTCAATGAATTACAATCATATACCCACGTATATACTTCGGTCTGTCGAGCCTCCCCTGCTGTCCTCACATGCACATGAACGAGGCAGCCAGGGACGGGTTAGCAGCACAAGGCCGACAGAGAAGAGAGAAAAGGCACTGCTTGTCGCTGCCACTGTAGATTGAGCTGCAAGATAGATGAGGGTCCTGGCAGGATGCGTCGCGATGGTGCTCCTCGCCCTGCCGACCAGCAACGCCGCGCAGAAAGCTGGGACTGTCAAGTTGCCGGCGGGGAAGGGCAAGAAGAGCAAAGCGGCTGCAGAGAGTAAGGCGCTGCCGGAGCTGAGCACGAAGGATAGCTTCGTGACCGGCCTCCTCTCCGGGGCCGTGGCGGGGACCACCGTGGACCTCGTCCTGTACCCGCTGGATACGGTCAAGACGCGCCTGCAGGCGACGGCGGGGGCCAAGCTCTCCATGAACACGTTCCGCGGGCTCTTCAACGGCGTCGCTCCCGCCATCGCCGCCAGCGCTCCCTGCGCCGCCGCGTTCTTCGGCGCCTACGACTCCCTCAAGCGCGTGCTCACGGAGAAGCTGCCGGACGAGTACGCCTCCGTCGCGCACGCCGGGGCGGCGGCCGGCGCGGACCTCGCCCAGAGCGTCGTCCGAGTGCCCTTCGAGGTCATCAAGCAGCGGGTGCAGGCAGGCGTGGACGCCTCCGGGAGAGCCGCCCTCGCCAGCGTCATGAAGTCGCAGGGGCCCAGGGGCCTCTACCGGGGCTGGGGCGCACTGGCCCTGCGCGACCTTCCCTTCGACATCATCGAGTTCCCCCTCTACGAGTGGCTCAAGAGCGAGTGGACCAAGGTCAAGGGGGAGAAGCTGGCGCCCTGGCAGGGCTCCCTGTGCGGGTCGGTCGCGGGGGGCATCGCCGCCGGGCTCACGACCCCGCTCGATGTCGTCAAGACGCGGCTCATGACCCAGAGCCCCGGGCAGTACGCCGGCATCGGCGAGTGCTTGAGATCAATCCTGAAGGAGGAGGGTCCGGGGGCGCTGTTCGCCGGGTCGGTGCCGAGGATGACGTCCATCGCCTTCGGCGGCGCCATCTTCTTCGGTGCGTACGAGACGGCCAAGTCGATAATCTCGGTCAAGATGGAGGAGAGGGCCACCGCTGCTACAGCGGCGGCTGCGAGCGGGAAGAAGAAATAGGGCTAGGAAAAGGCGGATGTTCTAGGAGATCGACAGGTTTGTTTGTGTGCGAGGGTGTGCTGTCTGCGTGCAAAGCATTGGTTCTACACATGGTTACCAATTTGCCATCGGGCTTCTCGAGCTCCTTCAGGAAGGCGTTCCTGTTGACGTCATCGCTACCTCAGCATGCAATCGCAAACGGCAGCGCGCCCTGCTACGTTCGAAGTAAAACATAAACATTTGCACTCGTATTTACCTCCCAAGGGGCCGACTTGCAAGTATAGCATCCCAGGTTGTTCCCACGGGGTCGGTGTTCGGTACGGCGGTGCCTTGGTTGCGACCTAAGGTTCATCGCCCATGTACTTCCAAAGTTCTAGCTTACAGCCCGCTCCTCTCGGGCCCCGTTTTTCTGTACATTCTCCCCACCACACCATCTGTTCGCTGACGTTCGCAGCAGTTCGAGTTCCTCTAATGTTTGACTGATGGTATCTACATCTACATAGTTCAACTGCAGCCAACGCTGTGGTGGTTCGACGCCCCTCATCTTCACTTGCCCGCCCGTTCCCGTTCCACGACCCTCTCGTGTACCCGCTCCCAGGTTAGGTTTGATCGCGGCGTCGGGCTTGCATGCGGACGGCGGTAGAGCTACTGGCAAACACGGCAAGCCGCCCTTCTCTGTTGCTTCGCGTGAGGCGTTATGACGGGAGAACTCGGAGGGTGGAGGGGGTGGAGTAGGGCGTTTCGGTTCCTCTGTTGTCGATAGATAAGCAACGCGCGTTCCTGCGAATGAATCAACAGCGCTGTGAGCTGGGCGGGTTGGCGCGGTTTCAAGGCTCTCGTACTGTAAGCAAGAACGTGTTCGCCTATTGTAACGAGAAGAGGTGGTGTGCTGCCCTGTTGGTGATATCAGCCAGTGCGTGATGTTTGAGAGGATCAGGTTGCCTTCTTCTCAGCCAGCGTTGTGACCGATTTTTGTTCTTCGGCGAAGGGCTAATAATGACGAAGAAGAGTGTGTGTGAGATAGAGAGATTCGTTCCGTATGCATATGTTTGCAAGACGCGATCTTATTTCTAACAGCTTTGCTAATATCGACAGATTTTGACGGCCGTTTTGGGGGGCCGTGCTGCGTTGTAATCGCCTCAGCAAAATAAGACCAGAGACCGGCACGAGTCGGGCGGCATTGCGACGTAGGAACAACAGGTAGGTAGTGTGAAGGTTTAGTTGTTGTAGTTGTAAACCATTTTATGTTGCAGTCATTTTTAAAACCTGCGGAGGTGCCTGCGTGTTGAAATACAAGAGACCAACTCTTTAGAGAGGGAGAGAGAGATGGAACGAGAGATATCGGATTTTAGTATCGGGGGAGTTTCCGCACTTCAACACCCCATTTTTGTGCAGGTGGGCTCACAGTAGAGAGTGCTTCGACAGCCCTACAGCGCTACCCTGAGTATAAAGTTGCCGTGTCTCTCTCTGCGTCAGCGCTTATCCTCGGAGGCTCTCGACGAGCCCACTCAATTGTGACGGTGTTCCAGGACATCGTTGTTTGCTGTATCACTTGGTCGCCATGATGGTTGGGAGTTTATTTTTCGCGGAACTTAACGACGAATAGTTCGACAGCTAGGTTGGACGTTTCCCGCTCCTGGGCCCAATTTTGGCGTATCACTCGCTTCGTGGTGCCCACAAGGAGTGCATTTTTCTTTTTTCTCTGCTTGACTCCCGGTTTGGTCTGTGCGCTAAACTATGAACTTGAAGAATGACTGCAGCCGTCGGCGTGAAACACATAACCGCTGTAGTTGTCGTTGCCCTTTGTGGAGCAGAGAAATTTCGCCCGACAGCGAAAGAGAAGCCAATCCCAGCCAAAGGCGGGCACGGAGGTTAACAAAACGCTGCCTTGTCCATCATCGGAAAAAAAATCGTTCGATCTCCAAGCATGTTTACCAGGTTATTTGTAGGGAAGTGAGCAGAGTAATTCCGCCTGAAACTCCTCCCTACAGCAGTACAGCGAAAGAAAAGCCGACCTCGATCGAAAGCGGGCACGGAAGTTGGTCTTCAAACGCTGCGTTTTTCGTCAACAGAATAAAATCGTTCGATCAAAGCACCTTTGCCGGGGTTCTTGTAGGCAGGTGCGTTCGCTCTCGTCTTTTAGCAAGTTCCCTTTTCCCCCTCCTTTTTCTCACAGGGGGGTCGACGTACAGCATGGTTTGCAGGGAGAGTGTGGAGGGTATATCCTCGCCGTTTCGTGTGCTGCGCAGAACAGATTGCCCATTTTCCGCTGGATCTTTCCGAAGGCAATTTTTCATTACGCGTATCTTATGCCCACAAAAATTCCTCTTAATTTTAGCTTCTACTCACTGGCTGTTTGCCTTAAGGGGTCTCCCCCAGCGAAGATGGATTAACACCCCGCCGCTTTTTTCCCACCTTGGCACCTCCAACCCCAGTGTGACCGTTTGAAAATTAAGGGCAACGGACGAACACCGCCCCTGATATTCTCATTCTTCTTGCCTCTAGTTGCGTTCGCGGGCAATCACGTACTACTTCGTACAGACGACCCACCGGATATACGAGATGCTACCCCGCCCACCATTTGGAAAGCGACGTACAACGCATGCACCACTAGAAATTCTTCTGCGTCACTCCTCATTCGAGCAAATGCGGACGCCATTTTTACAAATATATATGGACAAGGATGTGACCTCCCCCCCCCCCAAGAAAACTGCAAACAACATTCTTGTTCTTGTTACCATTAGCAACACCGACCCAACAAGCACCCACAGGAGGTTCGAAGGCGCCATTGTCGGCTCCAAACCTGCACGACTAATCAACCAGCCCAGCCTGCACAGGGACCGCCCAACGCGTGAGATGAGCGCTCCCTTCACAGGGCTTCGGCACTACGCCTACCACTGCTTGCTCTGATGGCATGACATCCCCACTCCTCCACCAGGCTTCGAAGGCAGGCTGTTCCCCAAAAATAAACCGCTATCAACCAGGGCGTGCATAATTGAAGAGCGTCGGCGGTTGCTATACCCTTACCGGAGGAGGGACTGCCAACCAGCAACAATAGAATGGAAAAATATCAACAAGGGTTGGGTATTGAATGGCCCTGCATTATAACACCCAAATCATCCCCGAAAACTGACACAACAGCTGCGGCTACGCCCTCAGCAGTCGACGGCAGCTCTTCAACCTTCTGCCTCCTCCCTTGAGAGCCGCCTCTCTTGTCATTTTCGGGTTACCACCTGAATCTAGCTCTCTCCCCCAGCCCCGGCCCCGGCCCCGGCCCCGGCCCCGGCCCCCCACCAATCTACCAATCGCTATGAGCGCGGAATCCGGGTTCCATTAGGAAGGGATAAAGAGCTTGCAACCTCCTGTTTCCAACCAGTCGGACACCTGTAACCATAGCCCGTACTCGACAGCAACGGCCCCGTCACCACAGCAGGCGACAGAAGCCCAGCCGCAACCGCAGCATCCGTTACGTACCGCCCAAGCCTCCGCCTCCGTCCCGTCCTAAGCCCTCTGGGCGAGTCGTACGCAAGACAGCCTGCTCAAATACACGTGGATATATAGCGGCCCCTGCCTCTGCCGTGAGATAAACGATGGTCTCCTCCGCCCATCTCGTACGCACGGGTGCTCTCGTCACGCCGTCGTCCGTCAAAAAAGAAGCATCACACCCCTTGTGGCCCGGGTCTTAGGCGACCGCAGCCGGCGGAGCAAGCGCCGGCGCCGCCTCTCTGTCCGTTCGCGATTCTCCGTCGAGCTGGCACTGCATGTAAGCCGTGCTGTAGTTCACCACCAGGTACCACAGGTGGTCCTCAATATTGCCGAAAATCGCCTGCGGTGTGGTGTGGTGTGCCGAGGGCATATGGGGCGTTGGTTTCATCGGGTATCGTCGCGTTTATTTTCTCAGGATACAGCTGTCGTGGTTCATTGAGCGTCATTGTTTTGGTCCGATTTGACCGACAACGAGATACACGTCAAAGCACATAGATGCTCAATCACGAATGCCCAACTCTAAATTTCGTTTGCTGCTGAGGCTGTTGCTGCTGGTTTCAGGATAGAAGATGCACCGGAGACCCGCAACATCACCATCAACCACGCGCCGCCTGCACATAGCCACCAGATCACAATTAACCTAACGACGTTACACGCCCACAGGATAAACTATAAATATCGCAATCCCACATCACACACGAACGCGAGAGAATTGATCGCCGAAGCACAACAACACCAGCAAAAGGCAAAGGTAATCCACAAAAAACTCACCCAGAATTGGTTCGAGCACGTGTCGTCCTCCCCGCTTTTGTTGCAGACCTGGTAGCTCGACTGGTCCTCGGTGTAGAACACCTCCGTGGGCGGGTGGTGGTACCCCCAGGCCTCCAGCGGCAGGTGTGGCACCGGGTCACGGTGGTGCACCAGCCGGAAGATCGAAACGCCCGGGCGGGTCGTCAAGGTCGCGAACGCTTCGTTCCCGACCTTGGCTCACACGGAACAACCCGTTCCATCCGTCGGGAAAAAACAACAGGCGGAACAATGCGAGACAGACACAAAGCAGCCACACAAAATCGCAGTGAAAGGAGCGTACCAGATGTCAGCCACGTCATCGAACAGGACTACAGAAAATGGGCGCCTCCCGACTGTATTTTACCTCTGTGTGCGATCGATAAAGTAGCGGCGTAGCGCCGTCCAGCAAACGGGTCGTTCCCAAAGGCTTGGCTCAAAATCTCCCCGACCACGAGCTTCAGAGGGAAAGACTGAAACGAACCAAGTCACCACGCAACCCGTAGCTACTAGGTCACGAGCGACGCGTCGATTGTTTCTTTCGCACCGTGGCGTGGACGGCCATGCGCTGTTCGCGCATGGCACATGAAATCCACGACCCGGCTTGGTTGCCAACACCCCACACCCACGCACCCGCGGGGAGCCGAAGAGGTAGAGAGGTGCGAAGGAGACCGACGAGTTCGGTCCCTGCCCGAGACCCCTATTCACCCGGAGGTCCAAGAAGCAGAGCACGGCCAGCGCCGCCCCTAAGGAGTGGCCGGTGATGAGGATCTGGACGTGCGGGTTGTATTGCATGTGCTGCCCAATCGCGTAGCGGACCTTCGGTCGAGCAGCGGCAGCAGTATGGCCGCAGCAGCAACAGCAGCAGCAGCAGCAAGCGGCGGGGTGCGGCGAGGTGAGCGTGAGAAAAAAGAAGAGGGTGGACAGAGAGGAGATTTCGCGTGCAGTAGACAACGTGCACGGAAAGGGAGGGGGGACGCGGGAAACTCAAAGAGGCGAGTTATGATACTCTCCGCACAGATAGCGACCCCCGTTACCGACAACTCATACACCATATCACCTACCCTACCGCTTCGCATCGCACAATATACGGCCTTCAGAGCTGACGTATGTTGTATGTAGGCTATTGGGACCTGACGACTATGACACTGGGTTTGCATGCATATACAGCAGTACACCATTATACATACCTGGTCCTTCACCAGGTCATACGCCGCTAGAAAGCCTCGGTGGACTTGGCACTGCTCGCATAATCCCCCGTACGTGTTGGGGACGGTAGTAGCTTCCAGGTCGTCGATCCAGTTCTGCGTCGCGACAAAAAAACAGCAGTAGTTAGTGTTGATACATGGGTTTAAGAGTAAAGTTAACGCATAAAAAACAGTGTTCATAGATTAATAGCAGTAACGTTAATGCAGATGTTGGTGGGCGACAGCACTTGGTCAGGCGGTATGAAGGAGGAGTCTACGGTAGGCGTACTACTGCACTCGTGGTCACGCGCCGGTTGGGCGTTTTTCTCTGGTCCCTTTCCGGCAAAGCAGCGAGTGTTGCAGTAATGCAATCGTTTGTGCTACCACCTGCTGCTGCCGGTCGGTTGGGGCTGACTAAGATTGCTGGAACTATACAGGACAGGGGACGGGGACCGCGAGAGATTGTTGTGTTAGTCGTCCACAAACCTCTCTGCTCACGGGAGGTCCGGCGGCTGCCATGAGCCGCGTGCGTGCATCCAGAGAGCAGAACAACAATCTTCCTTGTCTTGCCTCTTTGCGCCCCCCCCAAAGAATTCTCGCCGCGTTTGTTTCCAAAAATTGCTTACATTTTGGTCTCATGTGTGTGGACCTTAACAAGCAGTTGCTACGCGACGGTGTCCTTCAACTTCATTCTCTTGTACACTGCTGCTTTGAGGTCTTCAACCCGCCTCCATTGGAGTGGATGGTTGGAGCAGGACCCGCGCTCATGAACTTTTTCATCATCCCCAAGGAACCAACCAGCAGCGGACTATTTAGACCACGTATGTTGCACTCCAATTAACATACCTTGACGCTGCTCGGGTCCGTCCCCGAAAAGGTAATCACGATGCGCGGTTTACCGGATCGTGCAGCCCCACCTGCGCCCTTGTCGTCACCCTCTGCAGCGCGGAGGTGTCGTCGATCGTCAGGGCCGGGTCCGCGCGGAGTTGAAGTGTACCGGTTTGATGCTTCGGCGTCCCCGATATCGACTCCCACAAAGCCCCGAACGTTGCGCTTTTCGCCGTTGATTACGGTGACGTTCCTCATGCCCGGGAAGTGCTGGCAGGCCTTGCAGCTCCACGACGCGAGCTGCGGTGTGCAGTACGCAGCTTCCGTCAAGCGGACGATCACGCTCGCGAGCCCCTCGTCGTAGCACAAGCCCAGCCCACCGTCGCCGGCGGACGATGTAGCAACTGTTGTTGTAAGATCGGTCACAGGGGCGGGATCGGCGGAGGCTGGGGAAAAGAATAGGAGCAACGAGACGGCAAGAGGGTTGAGCCCCAACCGTGGCGTTGAGACCTTCATATCGCCGACAGGTGACACAACCACACAACGCGCGCTCAAAGTAAGCGGTGGTTGTGCTCGGTGCTCATGTGTACACGGGGTCGTGTGGCATATGATGAAGGCTCTGGGGCGTGGCGTACCGCACGGCGCCCCCGCGTACACTCACGGAGCCCCTTCGTGATTTTAAATTTGAAGTCATGCACGTGCAGGCACTGACGTTCAGTGGAGCAGTGTTGGGGGTCCCAGACGATAGCGAGATGAAAAAGCAGGGCAGAGGGCAGAGGGTGTAGACGTCTCTTCCGGAAAAAACACACCCTAATAATTCGCATCGAAGAAGCGTAAAAAGTAAGATTTCACTGCACGCAACGCACAAACCAGTGCCCGTCCGTGTACGAATGAATCCGACGTTCGGTAGCTTCGTGGCAACGTCATACGCATACGTGTATCTGTAGAAACTTGCTGTCAGCAAAAGGTGGGACTAGGTGTAAGTAAGTTCGTCGAGAGTGCAACGCATTCACACAAGAAACAGACCCACACATACATGCGGTGGGAGACACCTCAGGTGCAACGTGCATGGTCTTAGCGCAATCCATGATGGTGCGATGTTTGAGCCGAGAAGCTTCCGCGCCACAACGCGCATTGATGTTAAATGTGAAATGTTCAGGTGGGACACGACACATTACTAATGTGAAATCACGCTTCTATAGTACACCTTTCGCACCACGTCACTATTCAACAACACCCAACAGCTAGGTAGATACAACACCATAACGCCTCAGCATCATTCCGAATTTATCAAATCTTTTAACCATTCGCTGCTGTTGGCGGCTCTTCGCCGTCACCTCTGGTGCTTCCGGCAAGCAGCTCGTCCATCTCGCTTTTGGGCACTCGTCGAAAATACCCGTAGCGCGGCACAACAGAGGCAGCGGCGGAGGAACGACCAACGCCAGATGCTGCCGACGACCCATCCTCCTGCCCAACCTCAACACCCCCCTCTAGCACGCCGCCAACACCACTACTCCCGCTATCTCGACCGATCAAACTGCGAGCACCGCTCGCGATCCCGTCGCTAATCCCCCCTCCCGACAACGAAGGCGGTGCAGCACCAACCGACGACCCCTCGCCAGCGAAACGAGGCCCAGAAATAGCACCATCACCAGCACCACCAACGTTATCGTGATCGCTGGCGCTTGTCGTGGCGTGCTCCGCGCCTGATGAACATACTCCTGTCTCTCCCCCTCCCCCGTCCCCGCTGCCACGCCCACCGCCCATCATGTCCACGCACACCATTTCCAGCCGGTCCGTGGAAAACTCATCGTCGCCCAGCACCTCCCGGAGCACCCCGAGCACAGCGGCCATCGCGCGCCGCACGCTCATGCCCTCGAAGGGGCCAACCCCCTCCAGCTTTGCTTCCGCGGCGGCACCCTTGTCGCCGATGGCCCTCGCCCTCCACTGCACGTAGGCTCCTACGCGAGACACACCAAAGGCGGGACCAAAAGTGAGAAAACAGGACAACGAAAGCCCATAACATTGTACGTCGGCAAGCGGCAAGGCTGGGGATGCCACGGTAGGTGAGGCAGCTACCGCGCCTTTTGAGCGACACAAGGGCAACAAGAGCAAATGAGGAATAGAGCAAAGGAGGAGGAGGAGTCTGCGACGAGTAAAACAAGGGCATTTCAAGGTAAGAGTGCAAAAAAGCATGGCGATGGAATGAGCGCCCACATGTTGGAAAGGAAGTCTCTTAAGGTGAGAACATAAGCGGTGCCACGTCCTCGGTGTAGCAAAAAACGCGTGTATCATTCAGACACGCAGGGAAAGAACGACTCCTGCCACCTTCCACCCCCCTAAAGAAAACTCAACGACGCCATACTGCTGTACAACCCCGGCACTTCAAGGCGTCCGGTGCTGCCAGATGTGCCATCAGTTCGCGGCACTCCCTTCAAAGACATCCGCTAACGTCGAAGCATGCAACAAGCGAGTCTGCCCTGCAAAAATTTCCTCCGCTGCTCACCGGAAGGATCCAAGTGGTACAGCACCGGCCGATCACCGCGATCTACTCCCGCCATGAGGAGGGCCACGCCCACCTGACACCAGAAGACAACAAACGAGAAAGGAAGAAGCGTTTGCACACAACAATGTGTTTTCTGCCTTCATTTCCATCCATTTCCATCCATTCATGCTGGCGAGGAAATAATAACCGAGCAGCGATTTGATCGGTGGTGCACAAGCGAGCAAGAAGCAAGTGAGTGAACGAGCAGCAAGTCAGCCAGTCAAGTGACTGGTAGAGGAACGACCATCGCGCTACAATACACCCCGTGCATACAACGCAGGCAAGAAAAGCGTACGGCATCGCCAAGCAACAACAGGAGGACATCGATACCAACCCCCTGCACAACGTTCTACGAGCTTCGAAACAGCCGGGCCGTTCGTCGCTACATGCTGTAGCTCTCACCGGCCGAGACATGGCCGGACCGCCGCCGTCCTCTTCCTCCCGCCCGCCGTTACCGGCCTTCCCGTCCTTGTCGTAGCCGTTGAACTTGAGCGCCAGACGGCTGAGCTGGGACGCCACCGCCTCCACGCTAGGAGCCTCGTCAAACTCGAAGCGGTGTTCTTGGACCCACGTGCTATGAATAAATATGTGTGTGGTTCGTGATGCCGTGTGCGCGTTTGTTCCGCCGACAGACAAGACACGAGCAAACGACGGGCCGACGGGAGGACGGACAGTTGGACAGACAGTGCGGGTGGAAGTTCGTTTCCACGGTCGTGCCACAAAGCTTCACACGACAAGACCTGGTTCCGCGAATACGTTGCATCAGAGAGAGGCTGCCGACACACATACCGGGCATGTCAAAAGAAAAAGGTTCAAACATGAGCAAAACAAACAGGTACGTGTATACGGTGTTTGGGGCACTTGGATACAAGAGTTGACCTGGGGAGTACGTGTTTAGGGGGGGTATGCTATTGGGGGTCCAAGTGCGGGGACCCTCGAGAGAGAGAGAGAGAGCGAGAGAGAGCCCGCGCACATGTTCAGTCTGTGTTGACTATAAAATACTGTGAACTGTGCTGGAAGGAGCACGGGTGTGTGTTAATCAAGGTTCTATATCACCTGCATCGGTGCTGGGTTAACTTAGTCCCCAGACATACTCAATACTACCGTGGGTGGGCACGTTAGCCTCCGCAAGAAGGCACGTGGGCCTCAAACATACTCCGCGTACGAGGGGTCGCTGCGAGACCTAACTAACTCACCGCGCGTAGTCGAGCAGCAAGCGGCCGTCCGGGAGCAGCCCGGACATGGCGCAGCACATGCGCCCGTCGTCCACGTCGGCAATCTTGGACACCGAGGAGGCCTTGAGGAGCGGCGAGCGCCGCCGCCCGTGCGCCGCGAGCACCAGGCCCTTGTCCGTCTGCACGCCGATCGTCAGGCCCCCCTTGTCCGCGGCTTGGGCGGCGTACTCCACCTGGAGGGTGGGCGGGTGTGATTGTCGTGTGGGTCTGGGCGTCTTGGGAACACGTCTTCCGAGTTTCACAGGAAGAGGTTCTGGCATCCGTCGGTTATGTTGGCGCCGGCAGCGAGGAAAGAAATACACGAAAAACATGTGCATTTGTATGTGCTGGTATGGAACCGCTGACAGCTTCAGCAGTTCCATCTACCTAGTTCTTTGCCTCTTGTCTGTGCCCGACTGCGTGCCTGTCTATCCGTCTACCCGTGCTTCTACGTTGATAAACTTTTGCGTGACTATGTTTCCATCTTTGTGTCGACGTGGGTGCCATAGTGACATGTTTCTGGCGGTGCTGGAAGCTCTTGTATCAGATCGCTCTACACATACGGTTGTAACAGCCACCGCGTGTACCATACATGAGCATCAACACAGCTCTTTCAACTTTGACGTACCTGATAAATGGAACCGTCTGGGGAGAACGCTCTCACGCTTGTGTCGTACGTCTTCTTTTCCCGAACCGGAGCTTTTCGGCGTCTGCACAAAGCGCGCAAGAGAGAGGAGGCACAGACAGCATGGTTCGATGGTCCATCTCCAGCACCAAGTCCACGTCCACAGTCGTGGCTCCGTTATACGAGGGTGGTGTGACAACGGCTCGACACCCTCTTATCGGAGCCCCCTCTTGTACCGGAGAAAGAGAGTGCTCAAATACACTACAGAGTCCAAGTCGTGATAATCGATTTGGACCCTCGTACATCGGAGCCCTACTTTAAGGTACCCTCTTCAATCGGAGCCACGACTGTACAGTTAACGATGGAGGTGCTTGATCGCCGTGCCTTATCGAGGGCCTGTGGGATGATGCGCCATGCTGCCTCATGCTGGGACCGCCTTCTCGAGAAAATTAAAAGTGTATCGAGGACAGAGAGAACAGGGAGGGGGTTACGCAGACCCTACCCCTAACCCTCACCAAACTTCCCCGATTGCATGCTTCCAACATGCTTCATTAACAGTGGAACCCTGCCAAGGCCACTGGGACCTCATCAGTTCGGGCAATGGCAGCCGAAAATTTCAAGGCTGCCGCATTAATCTTCCTCTTCGAGGGCGTTGTTTTTTTTGTCTCATGCGAACTTTTGGGGGAGGTCTGCGTCGCGAGCGATGCCGGATCTCCTCAGCAGCCGGGCGGGTCATCGAGCGAGAGTAGCAGTTGCATGCATCATGCTTGATAGTAGCTTTTTGATGCAAGAGGCGTGGCCCGGTTAGGGGCGCCTTCTGTTTTGCAAAAAGTTGTTCAGAAGGATGGCATGAATGTACAGTCGACCCCGCTTCAAGGACGCACATGGTTTTTCCAAGAAAAAAGCGTCCTTAAAGCGGGGTCCTTAGAATTCAGGGGACGATAGCGCACCATCCCCGGGGCCAATAGAGACATGCCATACCTCAAACTACGCGTCTTTTGCGAAGCACGGGTGTGGTACGAAAAGTCAGCATCGCCGAGACGAATGGCAACCGTTTGTTGACGTCGACCATATTTACAATACTCGAAATGAGATGTACAGCAGTCGGGGACGTGTTGAACACATCTACATACAGTACACCAGTTTGAACTTGGCCAACTAATGTACTGCATAGCTGGCAGCGAAATAAGGAGCAAATTCCAAGTAGAAATATATTTATCTCATTCTCGTGAAACAAAAAAAAACGAGCGTATTTCAGCGTCGCACCGAGGAACACCAGTACATATCACTGTCCCGGCGGACACCAAAAGCTACCCTGATGGCTTTTCCATCCACATATCGCAAAGAGTTCCCTGAACCTCCCCCCGCGGCTTGGCTCTACGGCTCTGTTGAGTTTCATGAGTAAACGAATGAACGGTCTTCGAAAGAAGGTACTGCGTCTCACGGTACTCGCCACCCGTTCCCTTCGCGTACAAATACAGATAGCGCCCGCAGTTAATAAAAATTATGTTGAGAAAAAAGGCTCAACTTTGTACGAAAAATAAGAAAAAGGGGCTAAAGAAACATAGCTCAATCTCGGCCACAACGTAAGAAACGCCCCAATAAGAAACGTGATGGTGCGATACCCCCATGACATCAGAAATCTGCGGTGCTCCCACCCCGGGACCAAGCTGAACAGAAGTGCATTTTTTTGTAGGGGGCACAGTCTCCCCCCGCGCGCCCCTGCTTTTCCCAGTGAGTGCTGTACTGTAGTACTGCCACACATCGCGGACGACCATATGCTCTCCGCTGTTGTACGGGTTTGATGGCACTCTCCACCACCTCTCTTGAGGGCTTGATGATGTGGATTGTCCTCAGAGATCAACAGACAGAAAAAAGAAAATACGAAGTACTACTTGTTGTAGTCTAAGGAAAAAGAGAATCGAGAGGATGCGACAGTCCAAAGGAAGAAGAAGTGCCATTTACGACATGGTCGATTTGGGCCGGTACTTGGACCCAAAAGAAGGGATTGGTGAGACTCAAACCGATTTTGACTTTTCTCAACTGCGGGCGCTATCTGTAGGATCGAACGTCCTCCAAGCGAGAGGTAACCTCGCCCTCGGTGAGGGACGAGGTTATGTATGACTCTTTTTTAGGCGGCATCAGATGGACCGCTGGTAGATGGGAGGAATCTAACCATACCAACACCCAGTTGCAGCTGCAGCAGGAGACCGCTCGCTACTTCTGCTGTCTGTGCGTCGCTACTTCTGCACTCACTGTGGTGCGAGGTTCGTGCAAAGAGCGGCCCGCAGGCCCGCAAGACCCCCAACAAGGGGGGTACGCGGTAGAAAAAATGGGATACCTCGTTATTGTATATTCTGCCGGGCCCCTTGGTGCTCAGCAAAACAAGTTTCCTTGAAGCGGGGAGTTTCCTTAACGCGAGCGTCCGTAAAGGGTGGTCGACTGTATGTGCGCACAAAAAAGAACAATTTCAAGTCAGATGGGGGCTCGAAAAACAGACGATAGACGTCCGTCCGTCCGTCTGTCTGACCAGCCATGAATAAGCCAGGAGACTCGAGACCATTTCACCATCTAGGCACCAAATTGCAATCTTAGACATGTTCACAACAGGAAATATTTTGCCTGAGTCTTCCCAACTGCTACCTTGTCAATCCGTGCTCGGTGCGTCGAGGTAGCACAGCATCTGTGCAGAATATACATGTCGCATTCAGGCGTCCCCGACTTGGAGGAGGAGGCTTGTTTGGGACCAGACGTACGTAACCTCACGCAAGAGAGACGTGAGACATCACCCGGAGCCAGACAAGGGGGGTAGGGAGAAACACACCTACAGCAAGAAGAGCGAGACGGAAGCAGGATGTGCCCTATGCTACTACTGCTTTATGCAATCGGCGAAGGAAGCGAGAGGAGAGAAGGAAGAGCGTTTCGTTGGGTCACCACTGCTTGGGTAGTTTTTTGAGCAACAACAACAGCAGCAGCAGCAGCAGCAGCAGCAGGGCCGCAGCGGCCTCTTTCTTGGAGAGAGACACAAGGCACAACACAGCAACATACAGTCGACCCCCCTGTACGGACGCTCGCGTTAAGGAAACTCCCCGCTTCAAGGAAACTTGTTTTGCTGAGCACCAAGGGGCCCGGCAGAATATACAATAACGAGGTATCCCATTTTTTCTACCGCGTACCCCCCTTGTTGGGGGTCTTGCGGGCCTGCGGGCCGCTCTTTGCACGAACCTCGCACCACAGTGAGTGCAGAAGTAGCGACGCACAGACAGCAGGAGTAGCGAGCGGTCTGCTGCTGCAGCTGCAACTGGGTGTTGGTATGGTTAGATTCCTCCCATCTACCGGCGGCCCATCTGATGCCGCCTAAAAAAGAGTCATACATAACCTCGTCCCTCACCGAGGGCGAGGTTACCTCTCGCTTGGAGGACGTTCGATCCTACAGTTAAGAAATGTCGAAATCGGTTCGAGCCTCATTCCCGTCTTTTGGGTCCAAGTACCGGCCCAAGTCGGCCATTTCGTAAATGGTACTTCTTCCTTTGGACTGTCGCATCCTCCCGATTCTGTTGTTCCTCATGAGAGGTGGTGGAGAGTGCCATCAAACCCGTACAACAGCGGAGAGCATATGGTCGTCCGCGATGTGTGGCAATACTACAGCACAGCACTCACTGGGAACAGCAGGGGCGCCGGGGGTGGGGGGGCGGGGGACTCTGCCCCCGACAAAAAAATGCACTTCTGTTCAGCTTGGGAGGGGGGTGGGAGCACTGCAGATTTCTGATGTCATGGGGGTATCGCACCATCACGTTTCTTATTGGGGCGTTTCTTACGTTGGGGCCGAGATTGAGCTATGTTTCTTTAGCCCTTCTTTCTTATTTTTCGTACATAGTTGAGCCTTTTTTCTCAACATAATTTTTATTAACTGCGGGCGCTATCTGTATTTGTACGCGAAGGGAACGGGTGGCGAGTACCGTGAGACGCAGTACCTTCTTTCGAAGACCGTTCATTCGTTTACTCATGAAACTTAACAGAGCCGTAGAGCCAAGCCGCGGGGGGAGGTTCAGGGAACTCTTTGCGATATGTGGATGGAAAAGCCATCAGGGTAGCTTTTGGTCTCCGCCGGGACAGTGATATGTACTGGTGTTCCTCGGTGCGACGCTGAAATACGCTCGTTTTTTTTTGTTTCACGAGAATGAGATAAATACATGTCTACTTAGACTTTCCTTCTTCTTCCGCTGCCAGCTATGCAGTACATTAGTTGGCCAAGTACAAACTGGTGTACTGTAGTTGTTTTCAACACGTCCCCGACTGCTGTACATCTCTTTTTAAGTATTGTAAATATGATCGACGTCAACAAACGGTTGCCATTCGTACCACACCCTTCCTTAGCAAAAGACGCGTAGTTTGAGGTATAGCATGCCTCTATTGGCCCCGGGGATGGTGAGCTATCGTCCCGTGAATTCTAAGGACCCCGCTTTAAGGACGCTTTTTTCTTAGGAAAAACCATGTGCGTCCTTGAAGCGGGGTCGACTGTACAGACAGACGCTGCTACGCACCACCATTGATTAATGCAACATGTATTGCGTGCGATGGCATCGATCTGTGTTGCCCTCTCTTCGCGTTAGTCTGGCACCCATCACGTGCTGTCTCATCCTTGCGTCGAGGGGTTTTGCAACAACCGACATCTGAACAGGTTGTTGTTCCGCAACAGACTAAACTTTTGTTGGGTGTGTGAGCGTTGACCTTTTTTTTGCACTTTGCGCCTCTTAACACAAAGAAATATCACCACGCCTATCCCCTTACTAGTGTTGTACCAACTAGCGCCCTCGTCAGGTTACGGTACTACTGTTCAGCATAACACCACGTTGTTTGTTGTGCACAACAAGTCTCGATGCTGCCATGTGCATGCATGCGTGCGCGTCTCGCTCCACGCGATGTTCACTTCTTCCTTCATGCGGCCCGCATTTTTTTATCTTTCTATCTACACACATGTGGGCCGCGTTTCCGTGCGGAGTGTGCGGGCCGCATTGTCTGTGCAGCGGCAGCGGCTTGTGGGACGTGTTCACAAATAGATAGCCTCGCACACGACACACCACACACACAGAGAGCCAGACGTGGACAAAGACGGAGAGGGAGACACAGACCACAGCGACGGCGAGACGGCGGGAGCAGGGTGTGCCCTACACTACTGCTGTTAGATAATCGGCCGAGGAAGCAAGAGGAGAGATCAACATGTGGTTGCAGCAGCAGCAGCAGCAGCAGCAGCAGCAGCAGCAGCAGGAGCAGCAGCAGCAGCGGCCTCTCCCTCTCTCTTTCCGCGGAGAGGGGCACATGACACCAACAGCACACAGACGCTGCCACGCACCATCATTGGTGCGACATGTACTGCTGTACGCCTCCCTACACTTTTGTGCGCGAAGGCCTAGTACGCGGCCGGTGCCTCCCGTGCTAGTTCGGGTTCCCATCACACGCTTTTGAGTTGTCTCCATCAAAGCTCGAACCAGCAAGAGAAGCACAACAGCAGAGACAAGATTTTCTTTTTTAGCTGCTAGCCGTATTTTTTAATATATCACACCCTTCGTCCTGGGACACCTCCATACCATCCTCGTCAAAGTGTGGAACGGAGGAGATATATTCCGCGAGAGTGGAAGGATGCAACCATCAAGATGCTGTACAAGAAGGGTGACCGGTCCAACTGTAACAACTACAGGGGGATTTCGCTACTATCTCACGTAGGCAAGGTCCCCATCAAGATCATCACCAATCGTCTAAGAGCCTTCTGCGAAGCCAACAACATCCTCCCGGCGGAAAAGTGCGGATTTCGACCCGGGCGATCCACCGTCGACATGCTGTTGGTCGTACGCCGCCTCCAGGAGCTGGGGCGGAGAAAGAAAATACCGCCCTACATGTACTTCGTCGACTTGACGAAGGCGTATGATTTGGTGGACCGAGAGATGCTTTGGAAGGTGCTGGCCAGGGCCGGGATTCCCGCGAAGCTGATCAAAGTCATCCGCCAATTCCACGATGGAATGCGGGCCCGGGTGCGCATGGACGACGGAGAACTATTGGACTGGTTCTTCGTGACACAGGGCGTGCGACAAGGATGTGTGCTTTCTCCACTGCTGTTGAACATCTTGTTTGCCGAGGTCCTCGAGGTCGTTGTCATCCGATTCAGCGAGGATGATGTTGTTCTGCCGAGCCTGGTGTGCTTGGAGGAGGGGAAGACAGAAGCCCGCGGGGGGGAAGAGACACCCCTTGACCGAGTTCAGAGCGCAGTATGGGGGATGCTGTACGCCGATGATGCCGGCGACGTATCGAGGTCTGCAGAAGGACTGGCGAGAATGATGACCATCATCGTTGAGGTGTTCGGGGAGTTCGGGCTAACGGTGTCGGAGAAGAAGACGGACACGCTCCTGATGCGCGCGAAGGACAAGCCGACTTCAACATCACAGCCCCCCCCCGCCTCCACCGCTGACCATCGAAGCCGNGGGAGCTCTTCGACAGACCGAAAGCGCCATTCCGACTCAAGATCCGCCTTCTCCAGGCGGGGGTGATGGAGGCACTGCTGTATGGCTGCATGACATCGTCACCACTCGGCGGCCACTATCAGACGCTGCGGTCGATACACCACCAACTGCTCCTTCGAGTTATCGGGTACAAGCGCAAGAAAGACACCTACCGGCAGCTCTCTTACGCCCAGGCGCCAAAGAGGGTCGAATGCCAGAGCGTTGAAGCCACGATCCGACAACGAAGCCAACTTTTCGCGGGAGCATTGACAAGGCAGCCGGACGGGCGACTCCCGAAACGACTGATGCTCGGCGAGCTGGCGGGGGGGAAGAATCGACGTAGAAGGGGACAAGAACAGAACTGGCCGAAGTGTGGGTTTGACGACCTGAAGGCATTCGGGGCCGACTACGGATCTACGAAAACCGATCCATGCTGTCTCGGAATCCCGGTACCGACAGACACGGCACCGAAGTTAAAATGGACGGAAGCCGCGAAGGTTGAGGGGGGAGTACCCTGGCGGTGCTGCAGGGAGCTGAGAGGTGCATGACCTGGCACTAGAAGGAAGAAGAGGCCAGCCGACAACGGACGCTCAAACGAAACCACAACCAACGGCCAATGGGGCGGGAGGGGGGCAAGAGACGGACGAGGCGGCGAGGGAAGAAAGCAAACGAGCAGAGACGAACCGAGTGGCGCGACAAGGGCCGGACTGAATTTCTTTTAGCCAATTCCCCCTCCCAACGCTGAAGAAGATGACAGTGTGTACGAAAAGCGCGGTCATGCTAGACGGAGAACTGTCTAAATTCTTCAACATTGAGCAGGGGTCCCACAAGGTTGCACGCTGTCCCCAACATTGTTCCAGGTGTTCATCAACGATCTGTTGGAAGTCGTAGAGGCAGTCCGGAAGGGAGTAAGAGTAGGGGACACGGAAACTTCAGTGTCAGGAATGCTGTTTGCGGATGATTTTGTCGGTATGTCGAATACCCCTGAGGGACTGCAACTGCAAATTGGACGCGGCGAAGGAGTTGACTGATGAGTGGAGATTGTCTGCCAACGTTCAGAAGAGTGCCGTCATGGTATGCAACGAGAACAAGGAGGAACCAGTAGAACATAGATGGAAGTGGGGGATCGAGGAGATTGCAGTAGTGGACCAGTACACATACCTCGGAGTAGAGATCGTAAAAGACTGCTCGTGGAATGCACACATGTGCAAGGTAGCGGAGAAGGGCAAAGCGCGAGCAGGGAAGCTGCACCCAATACTCGCAAACCGGCACCTCGATACACGCATCAAATTGACGGTTTTGAAGAGCGTAATCGTACCGCCGCTAGAGTACGCCGGAGAAGTATGGGAAGGAAATA